GATTCCGGTTCCTCATATATCTTAAACCTGCTCCGTTCATCGTCTATCTCGAACATGACCCCTCATTTGGCAATTACGGTTCATCTTATATCTTAAACACGGCCCCGCATGTGGCGATTCCCCCCATTGGGCGACTCCGGTTTATTGGAGCTCAGGCATGTGACAGTAAGGGGTGCGGTCAGACCTGTACTTCAAACCCACTAGATCCTCAAATCCAAGCAAGACGCATACTACAGAGTAAACGTTCGCAGAGCTCAGAAACCAAAGATCTTCGCGATACCCCGAAGCCTCGAAGCGCAACGCCTAAAGCACTTTGTGAGCGCAGCTCACGACATGGAACCCCGCGATTCCAATACGCTGGATGCCCTTGAGGCAAAGTATCGGGGATCCCAGCATGAATCATCCTGACTACACGATCCGACTTTCTGGGATTCACTGTATGATGAACCGGAATCGCCAAATGAGGGGCATGTTTGAGATATATGACGTGCCGGAAACTGGGGGCTTGTTTAAGATACATGATGAACCGGAATCGCCAAAAGGGGGGGGGTGTTTAAGATACATGATTCCGACCGTACTACACAAGCCACATTGCAGCCTTCACAGAATAAGGGCGGATCAGATTTCCATTTGATGCTCCAGCTGATCGGCTGAGGAGACCACCAAGGCGGTGCTCTGTCATGGAAGGAGGAAGCGCAGCAGGCACGCCTTCGCCGTCCCCACAGACACACCACTGCGGCGTCCTATGACGCAGGACTCAGGACCCGCTGCAGAACTCGCATCAACGCAGCTGGTGCAATGCAGCTGTATCCTACTCCATCTATCTCTCTCTCTCTCTCTCTATGTCCCTCTCTCTCAGGGCGTTGGGCATGCACGCATTAAGGTTCAGAATAAAGGCATGTACAACTGGCCGGCTTGACTTGAAGAGCCGCTGGATGACGAGTATTCCACATCTTCCTGCATGTATAGCAATTGCTCAGGGCCAAAACCCTCAAGGTGTTGCGAATGCACGAAACATCAACTTTGAGACCATGCCCGATTCGGCTTGCGGCTGCATATCTTCACTGCAAGATGACGCGGGGCAAACATCTTTACGAGGCAAGATTTCACAAGGCAACGAATAGGAGTCGCGAGAGAGCTGATGTAGTTGCAGAGGCAGGTTCTGATGCACAATCACAGCCTGACGACCGAGACGGGCCCCTAGAAACTTGGCTCGCAGCCTGACTCACGGACGCTTCGGAACAACCAAGAGAATTTCAGAGTCAACCTTGCCTCACATCACGACGTTACCTAGGGGAAGGGTGCCACAGGCGCTACAACCGAAGCACCCTGAACCTTCTGAAGACTCCTCGTGTCTGCGTGTAGGCACTTCCACATTGCCCTAGCATGGATGGACGCTTCCGAGCTTTGTAGTTATTTTGAATTCAATTTCTGGGTTCTTGGGTCTTGGCACGGTTTCAGGCCTCAGGATGGCGAGCGGGTATTGAGACCGAAGCTCGGCAGGGCCTACAACAAAACTCATCGCCAAGGTGCTTTCGGACGGTCTATTGTACTTGTACGTACTCGAGGACAGCGACCCCAGCTTTCAACGCAGGTGCCTTCCCCAAACGGATCGAGGTTCCTCAAGACTTTCCACAGTTTGAGATCGGCTGCAGATCGCGAAACAATCCTGCGCAGCCTGATGTTCAGTAGTTCTCACAACTCACAACGACAACGTACTCAAGCAAGCTCCAAAGTTTAGATGATTGACTTTAGAGCAGGTAGATTACGTAGTTTGGCCGAATGACATCTGTCGAGGTTTGTTCTCCATGCTGCAGAGTATACGGTGAGGATTATTCTAAGAGACATACGGTCAGTCCTACAATAACTGCCGCGGATACTTATATGTCATCATGATCTCCGTGATAACACTGGGAACACCAAGCCTGAGCGGAAAAAGCCCTCCCCAGCACCGGACCCACAGCCAACCTGGTTGAGGCATGAAAGCGGCAGATGAGGGATCTCAATTACCTGCAGCAAGGCTACTACTTCGAGTATGTAGGAAAGAAGCTGCAGTTGTTTCAAGGACGGCTCGGCGACGCTCGCTGGAGGCTTGAAGCTGTAGAAGATAGCTTAGATAGCTTCACACTTGTCGAGGCGGTAGACTCAGAAGCCATACCTCAAGGCATCCGAAGATCGTCTGCAGGTGTAAATAAAGCAGCGAACAAGGAGCAAAACAGACCGATCACATTGTGCCATGCATGAAAGTTTCCAATCTGTCTGCTCCCTAACCAAACGAACCACACCACGAACCCCGAGCCGCAAAGCTGAATGATGTGCCAAGATCGAAGTAAGAAGCCCCAAATTGGCATGCCCAAAGGTCTGCGGTCTGCGCACTTCAATTGGTCAACTTCTGAGCCCGCCCGAAGGTTCTGAGCTGTCTTCCACACCTATTCCAGTCAGTGAGATGCTGGGGTCTAACCAAAGCGATAACCTGCAACCCTCCTGGTCCTAAACGCAAACTGGTGCCGCAAGTGTAGTCAAGCGAACAAGGCCTGGGATGTGACAGGCGCAGACCAGGTGTTAGCCGCTTCTTGCGCAGCCTCCGGCCCGGGGGCTGAAAGATTCAGAATTTCAAACCTTGGGGACTAAGATTTACTTTATCACGCTGTATGCAACGAAAATTCATCGGCCTCAAGATGCAGAGGGTCCTAATGAATTTGTGTGGGGCATGCATACGGACCATGCCCGACCCTGTGCATTTCAACATTCTCGCAGACAGCAAAACCACAGCACGTTAATTTAAAGACTTTAGGCTTTAGCCCTTTAAGCCCTGAATCTCGGTTGCCTTGTCCTCTATGGGTGCTGTTGCTTGATGGAGCTCTCGCATTTTCTGGATGTCCTTCGGCAAGCAGCGAGGCCATAAGGTTTCTGGGCGTCTGCGGAACAAAACACTACAATGTCACTACAACTACATAGTTGCCGATCCTTGAGTAGTCATTCAAGGAGCTGATCCCAGAGGTTGGGCGCGCAGGAGGCCGGGGTACAAAGTCCTGCTGCGAGGCGTTGTAGGCGTCGTAAACAGGAGGGATGTAGCCCTTCCGGCAGAAACTGTCCAACTCCTTCGGAGCAGAAAGTAGATCATTTGCAGAGCCCTATGTAAGAATGCTGGGATCATTCTCAACAAGCTCATCGCAACATAGCCCCTAGGTTGTGACGACGCTCTGCTTCTTCGCCCTTGTCTGTGACGATCGCTTGGGACTCAGAAGCTCGAGTGGTCCTGAATCTCATGGCGGATCTTGTTGGCCTGCACTAGCGCTCGACGAAGGCGTGCAGCTAAGCACGAAGGCACTTCTATGAGTGGGACCGGAATATTGGCCTCCAGTATTCTCAACAATAGACGCAAGCCTAAAACCTGCTCATGCAGGCACGTGCCTCACACACAGATGCCGGAACAGTTCGGTGACCATGAATGCAGGACTGGTGTTAATTCGGTCAGCCCATGTAGATTTCTCCGCTGCGACCATTCCGAAACAAATCGCATGCTCCTTAGTATCTCCTTAGTTCCGTGACTCTCAATTCCACGTTAACGCCTCTTCCCTCCATAGTTTCGGCCGAAGCCCACCCTCCAACAGGTGTTGCCCAAATCCCAAAATAGCCTTCGTAAAGGGCATCTTTTGAGCAATCCTCCACGAACATTCCGCTATGCTCAACACTGCGCCTTACCGCTACCTTCTCGGAATTATGCACGGAGCCCTAAACATTCGCCTCTTCGGTCGATCGCTGAATCGAGCGGTACACCTGACAAGAGTTCAGGTTCAAGTTCGGCATATTCCGGGCCCTGCATGCTCCTCGCCTCAACATGATGATGACTCCTTTTCGCAGACTGTCTTCTTGTCTGTGTGCCAACGACTATTGAACATCCTCAACTTGAGAGTCTTCTTTGGCTTCTCATTCACTCACTCATTCATTCATTCATTCACTCACTCTCTCTCTCTCTCTCTCTCTCTCTCTCTCTCTCTCTCTGGAACTCTCGCAGGCCCCATATCCGGTATTTCCTGAGGGCTGATATGTAATTCACCCCTCGTCCAGAAACAGCGCAGCTGCGCGTGCACCATGCATGGCCTGCTCGTAGACGAGCTTCAAGTTTGTCTCGCGCTCGTCGGGGCCAGTGCCACCGTTTGCCTGGATGAGCAGCCATAACTGGCATAAGAGTAGTGGTCTCGGATGTCGGGGTGCAGGGTTCGGTGTGCTGATGTTGCTTCTAAAGTGGAGAGAATGATGCCTCAATAAAATAAAGCACTGCACGGTCCCCCTACATCTTCCCAGCTTCGAACTCTGAAGCCTCAGACACATCCTGAAGGCACCGCCCCACCTGAACACGGGAGAAGCTCCAAGAAGTCAAAAAGCTCAGGTCTGCCATTCCCCATAAGCTCTCCATCCAAACTCCAAAAACAGTGAAAACACGGACAGCGGTCCTCCCGAAGCGCAATGATCATCCCCAGCAGCGCATCCAGCTCGTGGAAGGCGGCAGCCGAACGCTTCGCGTCCTGCATTCGCCAGTGTGGGGGGAGTGGCATCCTCGGCGGTTTCTATTAGCCGAAATTGCCACAGGGCCCTTGAAAGAAGGAGCAGGAGATGAACAATCATGGAGATTTCCGATCTTGTGGCCGCAGTTTACTGCGGTGCTGGCTGTAATTCTCTTGTCTATCTAGATTACGTTGTTGTTCATGCCAAACTGATCCTACCCTGGTCGAAAGGAGTTGGTGCAGGTGCAGAGATGCGGATGCATCGCACAGCTGACAACCGTTGCTGCATGAGATCCAAGTACGAGTCTTCGGGCCTAACCTGCAAACAGAATCCTTGCAGCGTCGCCGACTGTCATAAAAAACAACCGGATTGGAGGGAACGAAGGCTTTTGGGTGTTTGGGGGCACGGAGGGTGGGTCGGGGTGGGTTTGGGTGCGGTTCAAGGGTGTTACTGTTACCTCGGATCACAGACAAATACCTATGTTTGCCAAGGCACACTCAGACCAGCACCCGACAAAGTCGGCTTGGGCAAACCCCAAACTCAAGGACAATGCAAAGGACATGGCATGGGCATGACCCGACCATGAAGCCGCAAGCATGACAGGCTTTGACAAGCATTGGCACAGTACGGGAGTGGTTAATCTTGAAATAGTAGTCTCTGCACTGCTACACAAGCAGACATGTCATTGGCGGCTTCTTCCTTGTAGCAAGAAAATGTATAGGTTTGTTTCAACGGCCAAAACATCAACCATTTCCGTCCCGTTCTATTTTCTGGTTGCAATTTGCACGTGCAGACGCGCTTCGAAGATGACCAAGAAGCTTTTGTAATGCAAGCGGCACCAGACTGAAAATTCCGAGCCTTGAACTATCGCACAGGGATTCTGCAAAGCCGGAGGCCTGCTCTAGGGCTTCCACGGTGCGTCTCTTCACCTCGGCACAGGGCTCGAGCATCAGGGCCCCTGATACCTCAGATTTAAGCCTGCTGGGATGAAGTTCATCTCGGTGTCAACGAGATACTTGGCTACAACCGGCAGATCTTGAGTGCTTCAGGTCTAAGTCTCAGCTTGTGCAGAGATAACCGTTCGAGACCGAGAAGGATGGTGATTCAAAAACCTTTTACTACGTACAAGGCTGACGTGAGTGCTTGCCTGGACTGCGTGTAACAAGGCTATCGGCAGCCAGGCGATCTCCTACTTAACTGTACTGTTTTTCCTGAAGCGACGGCCCCTCAAAACCGAATTAAATGCCCTGCCGTTTCGATGCCACAATTACAAGAAATGACAATGAGGAACTGATGCCATCCAAAGCATGAAACCGAAAGTCTCCCACTGAAGATAGTGTGTTGCCTGGACCATGCTCTGCCTGTGCGTTGCAGATCGCAGTCCAGAGTTTGGAATGGGAATTTTGACAGTGTTGCCGATAAGTAGGCTTCCAACGCAAAAGGCAAGAAGCTCTCCAAGCCACTGCTCGGGTTGCACAGGCGGCTGCAAGTCCCTTTACTGAAACTCTTGGCTTCAGAATCCTTGACCCGAGAGGAATCCTGGCGAAGGCATGGCCAAGGCTTCGTTTCAAGGCATACTCAGAACTATGTGGTCCATCTGACCCACAAATCAATCGTCAGCTAAGGCATTCAATTTCATCCAAAAGTCTTCACCTCTGGAACTGAACTACGCCCAACATTCGAAGCCTAAATGAACAATCTGCAATCTCGCATGACAGGAAACCTGCATCAGGTCGACGACTAGGTCGACAACTTGCGAATCCTGCGCATTGGTTTCGCGTGGTTGAAGCTTTAGATCGTCAGACTCGTCGGTCTCGGGTGTGCTGGTTGGGTTTCAATTTGATTTCAGGTGTCCAGGAGCGGCTTTACGCTTTCGTCGCAAGGGGTGGCTAAGCCCGTCCCTGTCTTGCCAGAAACTCCACAAAACATGGAAGAGAATGCTTAAACTTCTCGACGCTCGAAGCCGATTGCTTGCGCTAACGCCAACACGGACAAGAAGCCAGCAGCCGTAGATAATTCGTGCGCCTGCTCGGCCACCAGTGGCTCCGAGTTCGCCTGCAGGGAGCGCGGGCCACTCGGTTCATGGCTTATCAGGATTATACCGAGCAGACATGCTGCCGCTGCTAGTGGTGGCGGCGGTGGTCATCGTGGTCATGGTGCTGACGATGGCGGTGGCGGTGCCGCTGTGCTGCTGCTGGTGGCGGCGGCGACGGCGGCGGCGGGGATGGTGGCGGTGTGGCAGCCACGGCGGCTGTGATCGTCCGTGGCGGTGGCAGGGGCGAGAAATGGCGGGGAGGAGCAGCACGACACGAGGACCACCACAGCCGTGGACGCTGATGGACTGTTTTGGGTTTGGGTATTCGGAGCAGTGCTCATGAAGCATCGCGTGCGGAGCGCAGTATATGCCAGGAGAAGTGAATCAACGGAACTCCTGACCCCGAAACCCACACCCTTGCATGCAGGGTTCTAGAGGCAAAACTACAAGTCGAGTCAGTCTACAACCTAAGCTATGCCGGCCTGCACGGAACTTGCCTCACCAGTGCCACCTCTGCTCAAGTCTTGGCTTGAGTGGTTCGGGATGGACTTGCAGTTGAGGCACTGTCGCATGTCAGGCTTCCTTTTTGAACCCATCAGTCTACCTGTCTACAGCCTTCAACGAACAAACTTCCGGTCGTGCTTGGCTGATGAAGGCCTTAGCTGTTGATGCTCTCTGCTCTTCCAGCAGCTATCCGGCTAACAGAATTAGTGGGGTGGGTGGGGGGGTGACAGCCCTGAGTTTTGGTCACGGCTCAGCAGCCCCATGCACATACAGTGTACAAGTCAAAGTATGGGCCTAGGTTGCACTAGGTCACTAGGTTATTTGTCCTGAACGATGTCGGCACAAGCTCGCCAATCACGGATAAGCTCTCACTGGGCGACACCAAGCCTTCAAAGGTCAAGGGTAGTCCTTGAGGCGAAGCCGAAGCTCACTTCAGAAAATAGGCTCGCAGCCTCGAGCTAGTCTAGTACAACCGTAGCCAGGACCCACGGACTCAGCTTGAATTCTGCTTCCAAGTCCGTCGCGCAAACAAGGCTTCTTCTGCATCCCTTTAGATTTCCCAGGTAGACCTCAAAGAAGATAACAAAGCCACAAACCCCTGCTGTTCCAGTCGGACGGGGAGTCGCTCAAACGATCTTGCCCCAACGAGGGCCAGAAGGGAGCTTGCTGGCAAGCAGCCATCTCCGCCGGTGCCAGCTTCCTTTCAGGGACGTCTGAGTCTAGGTTCTCCTACCACCAGTTACATGGATAGCCCGAGTTGAAGCCTCGTGCGGGGCCGAAGTTCAAATCGAGAACACCACCCCAAAAATCGCACCGAAACTCATCAAACAAACTACTCTGAATGAACATGTGAGGAGATACATCAGCAGCTCGAAGTCGAGGGTGATGCCGATCACGACGACCACATCCAAACCTCTAGTCTCACGTCCTGAACTCCAACAGCGAAAACAGTATGATGGACAACCCCTGCGCTTTAGCCTGAAATTGGAAAGCTGCATCTGGCCTCCGGAATCGCGCCGGCTGCTTTCGGCTTCTTCCTGCTGCAAGGCTCCGAGAGTCAGGAATGTTCTCAGACTTGGGGTCAAGGATTATATGCTTTCAGTCTGTGGTGCTCTTTAGTTCGGAGCTGTAGGATGAAAATTCGCCAAAACGAAACTGTACACATGCCGCAAGACGCTGAGATCCAGGCTGACTATTGCTGGACCTGCCACTTCGCAGGATGTTCGCAAAAGCGCCAAGATGGCCGAACAATGCGTGGCGATCAACGAGACCGCAGGTACTGTACCGAGCAACCGGAGCTGTAGTTTGGCAAACGACCGGCTGCACATGCTATGCCACTCCTGTCAACCAATCTGCGTGGCTTAAGGCAAACAGGGTTTGAGGTTCGATGCTTAACAAAAAAGAAACTGTGAAGGATATAGAGTTTCGGGCTGCGCGGCCTACCCCTCAACTCTAAACAAACCCTCAACCCTAACCATACCCTCATCCGTGAAGTTGCAGAGGAAGCTTTGCAGCAGACTCCTTTGGCTCTGCGTGCCTAGAGGACGAGGAGGCAGCCGACAGGTGGCTCATCGAGCCTCGCGGTCGGGAAATGTGGCTTCGGACCATTGCCTTTCAAGTGTTCGCAGAAAGAAACTCCAGGCTTTCGGGCCATGGACTTCGAATCAGAAATCTAAAGGTAAGGAAGCCTGAGGCCGACGAGCTAGGATGTTGACTCGGTCTGTACTCCAATCTGCTACATGTAGCAGCCTGCACAGATGAACCTGATACCGTGAGAACATCAAGGTTCCTAGAAACCTTATAGTCGGAAAACCTACAGTCCTTCAGATCGAAGTTTAGAAAGCGATAATCCGTTGCCAGGTCGAGTGACCGCAACACGCCATGGCCAACAGAAAACGGTCCTTCCCACACCCACTGTATAGTCCCCACGGAGCATGTCTGAGGCACTGGCTTTCCGTTACTACTTCACGAACATCCGTGGGCAAGGTGCAGCTGCCACCTGCCGAGGATTCGCAGCCAGAGCTACCCCTGGGCCTTTACCACGTCTCTGTCCCATGTCCCTGTTTGGTATCCCGTGCCGAAACCCCAAGCTCCGGTTCGCCTCTCAAAGCCTACACCCTGAACACCTGTTATCCCGAAAACATGTCACAGAGGGACCTGTACTCCCAGAGAGTGCCAAAGGTGGCACGGCTGGAGTGCGTCGAGGAATTTGCGGCGAACCTCCCCGCACGCAATAACCCAGCGTGGATTCGAGTTCAACATCCAGGCCTTCAGGAATCGGGCTTAGGCCTTGCGCCTCCATGTTCGGGGGCGTAAGAAAATGAAGCTTGGCGATGCAGGATATGTGACAACTCGAGGTGATTGATCTTTCTACATTAGCTGCTGCGGTCTTGATGGTCTTTATTCATGCGCTGCGAGAGTATGTTGCTAGCATGTACAAGCATGTATGCATCCAATCTAGGACTGGCATTCTGTTGTCTGGCGCAA